ATGTTTTTCTAAGAACGATAATATTATTCGAATGAATATTGTTGTCTGTAGGAAGGTTGCACCAAAACACATGAAGTAAGTCATAACGATTTTTTGTCCTAACCAGATTGTCATTCAAAAACATAAAACTAAATTTCTTTATCTTAAAAGATATTTGTTCAAAGATGCTATTTTAAAGACTTTTTTGTCACTGTTTAACTTAATTAAAAACTTTTTGTAGTGCTATTTTTACTTCACAATGGGAGAGAAAGCCATAAATGTGTTATTCAACATCGTAACTTATATGTATGAAACTAGACAACACACTGCTCACGATGTCCACCTGAACTCGGTTCCTTCAAAGACGAATACTAAAGTTTACATATTCCAAAACGTATGTCCTCCTTATCTGTGTCCATTCTCTGAACGTCGACCTGAACCAAAACCATGAGATAACTGAACCAAAATCATTTCGTTTATATTATTCAAAGACAAAGTCAGATCGTCTAGCGTCTCGAAATGGTTTTCGTCGACCTATGTCCAGCACTTAGGTAACCGGTTTTTCCAACTGTTTATATTTGTGTTAATAAGTTCAATATTAATAACTTACCTACAGTAGCTTAAAGTTTGTGTATATACAAAGCTATAGTTCTACACTCAGTTCTTCGGCTTCAGAAATACTCGACTCACATGAGGTTTTCCATCAGTCAAGCATACCATTTTGATATTAAATTGTTTTCGCTTTTTTCTCGTTGATTGACAAATGCCAACCATGCACGACCAACATTTGTTTTCAGAGCCATTTGATCATCACGTGATCAGTGTGTTTCAATTCTTATCCACCTGGAATGAACATTTAAAATCTCTTATCCCTTTGGATAAAAATCTTTTTTTGTGTGCTTAAATAAAAGTTAGCAATGTTAAATAGCGAAATTTTCAGAGAGTAACAGACAGAGAAAACTATAAATTCAATGACGCGTAAATTGTCACGGGAAGTTTAAAACCCTCATAAATATTCATGCTAAAGAATTAAGTATGTTAACTCATCTGTATCTGGATCCATATTAATGACACATGGAGTAGTAGAGCCAGAATTATTACATGCAGTCTAAGTTCTCATCAACCAGATATTTCTGAAAACGGATTTTTTGATTCCGTTTTCACAAAAAATTCTCGTTCACACGTAGCGTTTTCGAATCGTTTTCGCCCGTCCATACGTATATCTGTTAAGTTTAATTAACATAGATCGACTCCAAAATAGAACATTAAAATTTGGTTATATCAAGTCTATAACTTCAATAAGAGAGATGCTCGAGAAGAGCGATAGAGCTCTGTGTTTAAAAATCACCAAATCTAAAAATGCATCATTATTTGATTTATTACCACCAGGAAGGAAAAGGCTACTAAGGCCTAGGGGCACCCCTTTGTCTTACCCAAGGTTAAAAATGAAAGATTCGAGAAATATTTTATCAATAGATGTCTATTTTCTTAATCTTAACCTTTGAATTTTATCATAAACATACATATATAAATAACTGTATAATGAATCAAAATTTCTAAATAATATACAGTTATTTATATATGTATGTTTATGATAAAATTCAAAGGTTAAGATTAAGAAAATAGACATCAAATAAAAAATCCGTTCTCGACAATATCCGGTGACGTCAGATCATTATGATTTTCGACTGTTCATTTTAAATTAAGGGAGTCATGATCGCGGTTTCGTAAGGGACGGGAGGGAAAGGATTACTTTTGTACGACTAATGTAAAGATTGTTCCTATCCTTGTTGAGAAGGAAGTTTAAGAACACGTTATTAAAATGCGTTTATTTTGGTCTACGCAATACAAAGTCATGGATTGTAAGTCTTAGGGATGTAGCTTGTCTGGTGCAGTCATGCTCATCACTCGGATCATCATAATCACGGAAACTGCATTATTGATACTTGAGCAGAATAGTCAGCCGTCAATACAAAATAAACGCGGGTGCATATTTGATTCTGTTATCAAAATGGAAGCGTATAAGTATAGGAAATCGCACATAATCTCGAGTACAATTCGGAAGTTATAGGTTCAAGTGATGTTTTGAAAGTTTTCAAAAGTTTTCGAAAGTTTTCAAGCCTTTAGGCGAGTCCAGTTTGAGAACTTTAAAAACATTAAGAGTATTCATAAATTCCAAACTGCATGTATGAAAAGATTGGGCCATTTCTTGCTTATAATACACAACCCAAAATTGAGCAACTTAATTGGGACTCTACAGAGTACGATTTGGCATTTAATTGTACTCCTCTTGTCCAATTAGAATCGAGTAATTTTGTTGAGTGTATGATAATGGCAATAATTGCACCCTTTGAACTGTGTGATACATCGTTCGATCCTTCACTTCTCTCCTCTCCTCTCCTCTCCTCTCCTCTCCTCTTCTCTCTCCTTCTCTTTTATTTTGCATCCCTTCCTTCACCCAGTTAGATAATTGCTCATGCAGTTTTCCTTCACATGACTAGTGAAACAATAGAGGGGGTGCCCTCTCCTAACAATGGTGAAAAACATGTACACACAGACAAGGAAATCAGGTAGGTGAGAAGATGGTTTACCCCTTAGCTTCCTCAGTAAATATGACACGAATGATCGTGAAACAAGGAATATAATTCAACAATAAGTAATTTTTGTGAAAAAAAATTCATTTTGTCGGCTTGCCTATTCCTGTTGCGGCAATGCGCAACGCTACCGACTTGGTCAGTTCTAGAATGTTCTCTCTGTTCCCCCACTGGGCAAGTATTTGAAAAGTGAATCAAACACAATGCACAAAGTATATAAACAAAYGCAAAATATCGGATATGCTCTGTCTATGAAGCAAAAATAAGCCTAGAATTAAAATGCATAGAAATGTCATTAGCTAGCTTAGAAGCTGTTATTCGCTTAGACAACTTAACTATTAATAGATGAAAGACCAAAACCTAGAGAGACACACTTTAATTTCAGGATGAGTGAATCTTGAAATGCGGAACTTGGCAAAATGCCGAGAAGCGCTCTTTAAGAAAATGCGTGCATAAAATAACAAATCATAAAATAGTTATTTTTCAAAAATTATCTTATTTTAGAAATCAGTTGCGGAAGTTACTAGAGCAAACATTGTTCAAGGCTAAAGGATTTTTTTTAAAGAAGACGCTATGTTTGAATCACTATTTATGCATTGACTAAATAATTCAAGCTGTAAATGATGACGACACTGATTTTGAAATATGGAATCAATATTTTGAGAGTGTTATTTTAATGGCAAGTACACTTCACTGACCCACTCATGCTTGGAACTCTCTAGAACTTATATCACGTTATTGTAAAAAAGAAGACAAAGAACTAGCGAAATTGTAAAAATTATTAATAATAATGACTGTAATAGTAATAATAAATTTATACCGCGCAAATTTCATATTCATATGCTCATGCGCGCAAATAAAATATATGCAAGCCATATTTTATATGCATAGTGCTCACTGCGCGCAAGATTATTACTGATTTATTTAATAAGTAACTGCGTTAACAGCGCAAAAACATGTGCGCAGATGAATTGATAAAGCGTTTTTAAAATTGAAAGTTATTTTTCGTTAAAAGCTAGTCTTCTGCAAGCGATGCTAGCGCCTATACCGAAAGTATACCAAAAATATTCAAGGTAAAAAATTTCTAAGCTATTTCTTAAGTATGGTAGGTTATTAAGTAGAAGAGACAACTTTGCTAACAAACAAAACCATTGAAGCTATACGATGAAGTCGAGCTCTAACATTTACTTTGTTGATCGAACTCATTGATCCACAGTTTGTTGCATCAGACAAAGGTACCGACGCTCTGAAACTCTTAATTAATGAAGATAATGAAACTTGTTTCATACCAAAACCGGATTGCTCTATGGGAGATGTGAATTCAATCAGCGAAAGGCCAACGATATAAAATTTTCCTAAACTTTGTCTGCACGTCTTACCTTCTGCTGCTTGTGCTAACAATATTTACATATCTATAATACACTCTACAAAATTACTCGATTCTTATTGGACAAGAGGAGTACAATCACGGCTGTGTTTTCACTAGAAATGTTAACTTGCGTAAAATTCCTGGAGGTGTTTTAATGCGATGCCCACCTTTCAAGAATAACACTGTGATTGGCCCATTTATTTGGTAGGACAACGTAAACCATCTTTCTAGGTAGTTTAACTTTTCCTTATTTCCGATGTTATATTTAAGCTAGTTTAAATTGTCCTAGTGAAAACACAGCATGCAGTAGAGTCCTAATTTTTGCTCAATTTTTTGAGGGTATTATAAACAAAAAATCGCACAATCTTCTCGTACAATTCGGAATTTATAGATATTCGTGATGTTTTGGAAGTTCTCAAATATTGAACTCGCCTAAAGGCTCGTCCAATTTTGAAAACTTTCAAAACATCACTCGTACCTATAAATTTCGARTTGTACACGAGATCGTGCGATTTCCTATACGAATATGATACATTCGGGGCATAGCAAGCAACATGCAATGTGCGACATGCACAGGCCTAACAGGCAAGCCTCGCTGAAGAGCAAATCAATTACAAAAGTTAACCGGAACTTAAAGAATGTACAGCTTGAACAATACCAATGTTAGTGAAATCTCATGTGTGAATAACTTTTAAACTATAAACGAGGCTAAAAGGCTGTGCAAAGGAGTCTTCAAATACAGCGGCATATGCATCGAATGCGAAACTGGTGTATTGGACAGGGCAGAAAAACGGTTTTTGGCTTTACGTATTTAAGTTCAATATTTTGTAAACATGTTTTTTTGGAGCCAAATAGCAAAATATTAAATGCAACCAAAATTTATTGAATGCGTATTTGAGATATAAAACCGTGTACTTTGGGAGAGGTGATATTTTGATCAGCAGAAAAACTGACATTTTCGTGAATACTAATAAGTAGCCTTTACTCTAATTGGAAAAAATTTCGTCACAAGTTTCCAGCAGCAGTGACACAAATGAAACGCTTAAAAATTTGGAGCATTAAACTCAGTTAAATAAAAAAATTGTGAGTAGGGGACTAGTCGTTTTTCTGCCCTGTCGGTGTATATTTGTCACAACTTAAAATTATAGCGTGTGTTATCAGCAACCTTACGAACTCATGGTGCATAGATGGTACGTGAAACACTGGTTAATGTTGCTAATATGAAGCTGGAGTAAYGACTTGACCTTAACACTGAGAAGCCCTCTGTATAGAGCCGCGCCTGAACGAACAAGTTTTTTTTAAAGAGTAAAATGTTTTTGTTCACTTTTCTCAGATCATTAGCTTTTCTCCAGTATGCAATCACATGATTTTTGATGTTATGTCTTCAACATGTTTGTAACAGTTAGAAAGACGAAGATGTTTACTGAGTTGCGATCCCTGGGAGTAGGTTCTCCCACACTTTTCACAGATAAATGGCTTTTCTCCAGTATGCGTACGAATGTGATTATTCAGTGTGGTAGCGCCAGAAAACGATCGAAAGCAATACCCGCACTTGAAAGGCTTCTCGTTACAATGACCACTAGCATGGACACGCAGATCATTGGGATTCGCGAATGCAACCCCACAAAACCCGCACTGAAAGGGCTTATTAGGAGAGCGTGTGCAAATGTGAATCTGCAGCACAGATTTCTGAGCGAAGAYTTTGTCGCATTGACCRCAGCGAAACACGCCCAACCCTGGATCTTCTTCATTGTGATCTTYTGTCGTYGCCTCCGCTACACYAACATTGCCGCCAGAAAATTCCTTTCYTTGAGAARCGTTACAATTATTTTGCACTGTTGCGTCTTCAACTGAATTCATAGTTTGTATTTTTTTAGGCCTGGTTTCGGAATCAAGAATGAGATCCAACGATGTCTCGCGCAGGCGCTTTAGAGAAGACATGATTTCTTCAYCATCGCTTGATATCATGACAACTGCGTCATCAATGTTTGCRGTAACTTCRTTGAACTCGGTTAACACGGAAGGTGGATTGCTTTGAATGTTACTAGAAGAACTATCGACGGGTAAACATGGACTTGGKTTTTGCGGGATTCCAGAAAAAGCCATTGAATCGTCTCTTGCGTCTGTCGGGATATTTGCGTTGATTTCTGCAAGAAAAATAAAATGGATTATYATACCTCACGAGTTATCGTCCAATCACATCTCTGTATTTTATTCACACGGGGATCCATGACTTTGCGATATTGGGCAGCAACTTATTATACTGCTAAAAAACCTATTGTAAACCTATTGCACTAGTACTATAGTAGTCTTTTTATTGCAAAACTTATTTGTTCGATATAAAGGCTGGTTTAGACGGTACGATTTTTGCCTACAACTATCGTATACAACACGCTCGCGTCTGTCGTAGGCGAGTTGTAGGCTTGATTTACACGCTACGACTCAAGTTGTTGGGTGGCGTGAGCGTGTTGTATAAGATAGTTGTAGGCGAAAATCGTGCCGTCTAAACCGACCTTAATAAACTACCTAGGATTCATTCATTAAAAAAAATAAATAAATAAGAAGGATTCATGGTTGTGTTTGTTGCGGCCCATTTTAGACTCACATTAAAGTAGTCGAAATGTTAATAATGAAATAATATTTAAGGGAATGACAAGTAATCTGAAATGGGAAAGCGTTACGCCCAAGATTTATCTAACCAAGCACAGCGCGCAAAATAAGTACTGTTCTTGATGATAATTAGATATATGGAGACAAATCGGAAGTTGACACGACACATGTTGGTCGAGTGCTTTAGCTTATTCCTGCCTGCAGATTCCTATATGCTTCCCCTAAAAGAACGTATTGGTTTAAAAGAAGAAAACGCACAAAAAAAACCAACGTTGAAAAAGACAGGGTCATCACCAAACACAGATTATGAGAGTGGGTTGGGATTGTTACAAAGCACAAGTTGTGCTCTTGTGCTCACAGATTATGAGAGTGGGTTGGAAGGGTTACAAAGCACAAGTTGTGCTCTTGTGCTCACAGATTATGAGAGTGGGTTGGGAGGGTTACAAAGCACAAGTTGTGCTCTTGTGCTCACAGATTATGAGAGTGGGTTGGGAGGGTTACAAAGCACGAGTTATGCTCTTGACCGATTCCGTGCGAAGAGTGGTAGATAATTTATGCAGAGGGTATTTGTGGACGAATCCACAGACAGGTATAATAACAATGGATTGTATTGATAGTATAATATATGCAGATAACTTTGAATAGTTATTACCTTCTGTTCCCATGTCTCCCAAGTCTTTATACTCYAAWGGGATTCCCATGAAGTGCGGGTAGATTTCATCGTACCAGACCAGGAGTTCTGTACCCGGGGGTATTTCTTTAAAAGCCCGGTAGTAAATGTTGCCACAGTACTGGAAGGCGTACAGGTTTTGTTCTGTGCTGTTACGAGCACAGCTTATGAACCTCATCCAACTGGATGAGTCTTCRTCGCTTCCATCCAGATAAAACGAAAGCTCTCCTTCGTGAAAAACCTGAAGAARTATAGCGTCTTTAGTTTCGTGTAGCATAAGCTGAATGGAGGCACAATGGTTCAAGCAATGACAAGAATTTTAGCCGAACCAGTGGCTTAACCCAACCCATACCCAACCCAACCCGACACRACACATCACGCCCAGATGAAATTATCAAAGCCAAACTCAAAACATTACTCATTACTCGTTCTTTTGTAATCTAAATCTAGCTTCAAATCCATACCAACTAAGCCATCTCAATCACTTGAATAATTTCAATCCAATACAACACATACCAATCCAATTCAACTCAACTTATCCCAACCCAACCACTAGCTGAGACTGTATTTGTCCTGGTTTCTGATTAGTTCAAATTCAGTTTCTTGACCATGCTTGTTAATAGCCAACTGGTTTGCCTCCTTGCCAGTTGTGATTTTTAAAACAATTTATGTTTTTTTGATTATTTCTTCATTTCAGTTTCATTTTAGTGTCCTCGATTAGTTGTGTAAACTAAATACATTGACACTTAGATAAAGCTATTTATTTTTGCTCAATCCAACCCATTTCAATTTCCAACCCAACCCAATCCAATCCGAACCAACCCAATCCATGTTAACACATTCTAACCCATCCTAAGCCATCCCAACCCAGATGTCCCAGACCACCCCATTTCAACGCAGAACTCGTCCTAACGCAGCAATTGTTCCCACTTCAGTTGATTTTTGTTAATCATGGGAATCAAGACATTGCAAAAGTATAATCATACCTCCCACATGTAGGAGCTTTCTTTCCCAAACCAAGTACGACCAGTCTTAACTCTTCTGCCCTCATAAGGACCTATCCATGTCCCAATAGGAATGTGTGTYTTGGCGCAGACTCCGTAAACCGCTCCGGGAAGACTGGAAATACAAAGCTGGACCTCTTTCGGGAAAGACTCGAGAGCGCGAGACAATTTCGGGATACGTTTCGGGTCAAGAGAATTCAGTCTAAGAGCACCCGTGTGTAATCCAGTGGGCGAGTGTTYGGGAGAATTCTTCTCTCTACCTAAAATATACAAATCATTTTTACCTTAATTATGTTAACTATTTCATTGATAATAACGAAATCATGAATGAAACGAAAAATCATGAATCCTCACTTACCTAAGGTGTTAGCTTGTTGATATTCCATAACTTTCCGCTTCAGATCCTCAATTCTGATTGGTCGAACACTGGTCCTAGCGTATAGATATCGATGTAAGTCACCATAGGTGATCTGGGGTTTGATTAGAGCTGCTTCTTCTTGAAGAGAAGAACTCGCCATGTTTTGAGTTGTTTGAGTTAACGGCTTGTTTCTRCGTGAGAAAGAGGGAAAAGAATGACTTGATTTTGTCTGGTAAAAGGGGAGAAGAAACAATGGAGTGCTTGTTGTTAGAGTTTTGGAAAAAACTAGAAAGGAAGAAAAGTCTGAACTAAAGAATGAAAGAAGAAGGAAAGGAACTAAGGGGGGAAAAGCGAAGGAAGGAAGGAAGGAAGGAAGGAAGGAAGGAAGGAAGGAAGGAAGGAAGAAATACGGAAGGAAGTCTTAATTTTAGTAAAATAAACATATATTGATGCGAGGCTTGAGGTCACTGATAAATTCTCGGATGCTTAGCGTACGTATACTAGCGCTAGCTTTATTAGATATTCTGACTATCGCTCTACACTCTTTAAGAAATTCTATATTGAAAGAACCGACARAATTTCATAAAATTAAAAGCTAAAAAGCAAAACTGTATAAAAACTGAAAACCATAATTTTTTTAATTTGAAAACTAATGAAATAAGACGACGGTTCGTTGTCATCTCTACCACATCTCCAGGTCATTTAGAAACTAAATTAAATTGTCTTTTTAAGTTCAGTTCTATTTAAATTGTTTTTAGTACTTTTTTTAACAGTCTGAAGTCTATTAAATTCAGTTTTTGAAATTTCACGTCTTCTTTTAGGTTCCTTAGAGGAATCAACATCTATATCTACACCCCATGCAGGACCCCGACAAAAAAYTATTATAGCTGTCTTAGTTTGGTTTATGTCGAAAAAGCTGCTTTCCTTGCATGTTTGATSATAATCTAACCATAATCTACATCATATGGGAGGCACTAGCAATAAATATTATCAAAAAAACGTTTAAGACGTTCAAAAAGAACTTGTCTGCATTAAATGGAAGGTGTGAATCATAAATTTATAATTTTAGAATCAAAGACAGGCAATAAAGATAACAGTTTTGTCTTCCATATTGTCTATTAACCGAAGTTCCAAAAGCCGGAAGCCATTGAAGTGGTCAAAGAACCCAATAAAATGSACACTAAACGTAGAAGATAATTAAGTGCACAGCAAGGGTTCGAAGAAGCCATTTAAGTGCACACCAACCGGCAGAGAAGCCATTGAAGTGCAAGCTAACTTAAAACAATTTTAAGCCATTTTAACTTGAAATTAAGTTTCAAAAAAGCCGTTTGAGCGCAAAACAATTGGTTCCTCCTATATTACGATAACGATGAAGACTTTTATAGAACTCTTGTTTTACTATTGTATTATTTTTACCTCTTTTTGCGGCTGGAAGAAAACGGTAAAATCGTTAATTTTTTGCGAAATTTACGCATACGTTTTCAAATTTCAAGTGACGTGCCGATCACTTTACCAGTATCAATCTATAAATATAACGAAAAGTTGACTATTAAGAATTTGATGATCTATAAAATAAAGACAAGTATAAACTGACTGAATGTCCACCAAACCACCATGAATCAAAAACTAATTAATTACTCGATAAAGCAAATTAATAAATCATAGAAAAATTAGCCCTAGACTAACTATTGGAGGGCTTCATACTCTCTTAACTTGATTATCAGTTGGAAAACTTTTATAAATCGGGAAAAATATTTCTAACCAAAAATACCTGTTGAATGTGRCCAGGTTTTGCTTCTTGCTTGAACGCTTTTGAAGTTTTTAAAGTTTTGTCTGTTTTCGCCTTGCTTTTTTAAAGAAACAATCCTTGAGTCTATGTCCTGGATTCAGTTCAAGAAATTCAAAAAAAAAAAAAAACGTGTTCCAGGTTTTACGAGAGGCTAAAATTTTCACTGTGAAATGAAGGAGTATAAAAAGCACGCCTGAAGAGGTGCAGATTCATCTAAGAATAAAACAAAGCCCAAGTAAGCTCTATAAGACACACGGTGGTTCTTCATTTACAGAGATAACGACTTCATTAGCGCGCATTGATCAATGCGATACAATTAACGAAGCACCCCCAAAAATGTCAACCTCAAAATATAGTGATGATATTGCAATCTTATCAGTTTTTCTTATCTTTCACTGGTGTCGAGTTCTAAACCTCGCTGCCTTGTTCGGGAGAATAAGTTTTGGAAACGCTTAAATTGTGACAGTGAAGACACTTGAAAAAAGCTTAATCTGGCCGGCAGAAATTCCTAGTTTCTTCCTGTCCATCGTAGCAGTTTTTATCTTTGAGCTAATTCTTTTGTAAAGTTTTTAGAAGGAGAACGATCTCTGCGCTTGCAGACATTTGAGTATAAACTAGTTTTCGCTAAAACAAAACTCGTCTCTGGTCGAAATTTTTATGAAGTAAAATAACAGTACAATGTAAAAATGATTCATAACACAACAAAGTTTTTTTTAATTATACTTTTTGAGTTTGTCCCCTCGGGGCAATTAGAGAACAAAAACCTGTGTTACGCCTTTTTCAGCTTTCTAAGATTGTTTCTACTTCTATGGTATCTATAATAATTTCCGAGTTAAAACGATAACGACAATGGATGAAAGCCTTAATAAAGTGTGTAAACTAAACAACCGAATCACTAGCTACGACAACGGATTTCTGTGTTCCTTAAAGACTCCATTATAGACTGGAGCTGGACTACATGCACACATGATAAACCTGGATGGAAATTGTTGCTACAAATCTTGAACATATTTTTTTAATTCTTAGTACCAGACTTTATCCAGCAGAAAATACAGGATTTTTTCTATTTTTCATTTTGTATATTCTGTACTTCATAAATTTCATGATTTTTCAGTCCTCTTGCTGGGGGAAAATTTGATTTGAAATGCCACAGTTTGCTGTGTAATATTTATAAAAGTTGTGTTTTGTGTTCAGTCGAATGTATAAAAGTTTGAGTAAGTTTCCTCTAGATTTTTGATGTATGTTTTCGGCTAAAACGCGGAATTTATCAAATATATCAAAACGTTTGTTGCTAATTTTAAGCGAGCTTAAGGAAAGAGATGCTCATAGCTTATACAGAAGCAAGAAAATATCGGTGAAAGTTTAGATTGAATTTTCTAGCGCCTGTAAAAGTTGAAGTCTTGATGCCGATAATCAATGATCAAATCCATCCCGTCTTTCTAGCGCAATACGAGGTGTGAAAATTGCCGCCTTGAGCAGCTCTGCCAGACTCCTGCCTCATCATGATACAGCTGTAAAACGTGTGCCCAAGTAGAACTCTCTTCAATAAATGCCAGCATTACCGGATTACAAAGAAATGCCCTTATGATCACACACTAACACATCAGACAAAAACTAATAATAGTCCGGCATAAACAAGCGYATGTCAAAACGTCTTTTTTGCATAACTAAATCTTATTGTAAGCTGTGCAGATAAGGGGAACGTGAAAGAACCTCTGAGGTTACCCCCGGCCTTAAAAGTACATATACAGCTAACCAACACTATGGATGGATTGAAATGCCTCAAGTAATCTGATCGTGCCCTTAATGTAGGCTGAAAATTCCTGCCTATCAATTTATAAACAAATTAATTCAATGACCACAAAATATCGTTTTTTGTCTACTCACGAATTGCAAAATTAGGACGATTATTTCGTTTTTCTCTTCGAACCCCCYTTCTAAGAAGGTGGGGCTTTTTTGGCCCCCCCTTCCTAGCTAAGCCAGCTTTTAGATGCCAAACATTAGCGATTTTTACTCATGGAAGTCGAAATTACCAACTGCATTGTTTAACAACAGTCAGTGTGTTCCTTGGGTAGACATATGTATGTGGTTTGTACTAAAGATTAGAAATCAGCCCGCGTTTTACACCATCGTGAATGAACATTCAAGATAAACCTAATATTAGACAGATTATAATCTTCAAATGTTAAATTTCTTCTGACACGTATTTCTTATTTGTAAAAACTGCTGATGCTTCCCGACGTCTTTTATCGAGAATTCTTTTTTTCCCCTCACTAACAAAACTTGTTATTTTTTACAGCAAATTTTAGGTTCTGTTTTCGAGGGTTCTGTTCGCAACACGTGCCCAATGTATATTTAATTCTACAGTAAATATCAATGGAACACGAAACACGCGAAATCTGAAACATGTCGCGCGCACGCCTGAAAGCTCGGAGTATTTTTAGAACTGAATAGTTTAACTACTTTTTTTAGCTTTATAACAAAGCTTTCGTCTTCAATGTTTCTAAGAGGTGCAGTTGTTAATCATGCGTCWGTGGGGAAAGTGTTAACCTAGACCGTCCCATTCTGAGAATCTCCCTTGGCGTTAATGATCAATGGATTAGGGAAAAAAATTTCAAAAAGTTAAAAAAAATGGATGAAGAAAAGAAGAAAAGAAGATTCGTAACAAAGTGTAGTAAATCCTCTAAAATGAGGATGCCAATGAGATTAACCAATTGCCAGTTAACTACTAATACTTTAGACCAGCAATCGTCAGTTAACTGTTAATAGTTTTACAATCGCTGGCCAAAAAATTAACCAAAATAATGAAATATTAACTAACTATTAACTACTAATACTTTTTTTTTTTTTTTTTTTGTCAAGTAAATACTATTTCTTTGGTCAATTTTCAGTTATCTACTAACCCTATTGGCACCCTTTAAAATGTCTTAAAAGTTGTTTTAAAGTCAAGTATTTCCTTAAACTAATTAATAACGGGAAATACTGGACTTTTGTGTAAGCTAGACTGACTGACTAACTTCTAAGAATGTTTTATTGATTCATTCCTATATAAGCTAGCTGTATCAACAAAGACACTGTCTTTCATTTACTTACTTATTCAGCTGTCTTCCATAGCGAAATGACATTTTTCTAAGAGTTTTTGTGTCAAAAATTTAGTCGGCAAACAGACTTTACATCAGACATTGCCTTGAAAAAAAGTTTTAAAACAGATATCTTTGAGGTCTTAGTTTGTTTAATTGTGACTTTGAAATGATTTGAATACAAATGAATGTCTATCAAGAGTTGAAAGAGTAGCAAAATGAAATGGAAAAAGAAATAAAAAGAAACAAACAAACAAACAAAAAATTATCCATAATTAAAAGTAAAAAGAAAAAAATTTATATCGTCTTACTGACTGTCCTTATGGCTGTGACCCGAAGTAAAAATTATTGTAAGATCGACCTAATTTTATTACGACATATAAGTGTTTCTTATCTATATTCATCTTAACAATAACATAATTTCTAATTCCTGTATTTCACGGATAAACATAGCCTTGAGAATAACATGGAATCTTAGATTTGTCCATTTTTTAAATGACACTACTARAAAAGAAATATTTAAAAAAAGATATTTCTTAGTTATGACTTCATATTTTTAATGCATAGAATTTTTTGAGAATTCATAGCTAAAAAACAGCGCTGATAAATAGCGCTTACCGACGGATAAATCTTAATAATGGATAAGTTTATTGGATAAGAGCATCGAATTATAAGAGTTTCATTATCCACAGGTAGGAAAGAAACCTGCGGAAGATGAGTCGACGAGCAACTTTAATCCCGTGAATTGAATACCAAACTCGTATTAGTGATTTAGGATTTTTATCGGATTTAAAATTCTGTAAAAAAAATTTAAACCAAAGCAAAAAGATAATGATTATTCAAGATTAATAGTAAGGAATATTTATGAGTTAGATTTTAGCTTTAACGAAATAGCATCAAAGTATATACGAGTCTATCCAATCAACTGATGCTTCAATAAAATGCTTTATAAAATAACTGTTATGAATGTCGCGTTCTGATTGGTTT